ATTGACCGAGCGTACGTACGTACGCGTCTACGGATTGTACGGGTGGGGTAGGGGAGACTATCAAAAGGAAGGGAGGGGTGTCTCAGGCGTGTCTTGCCAAGTCCACATCTTTTACATTGGACATTCACAATATGGTCAATTGACAGCTGTCAAAACAGGATAGCCACTGACCAGTATCCCATGACCTTATCGCGGGCTCATGTGTCAACTCATTGAGGTGACGCGATTTATGTGGAAGCTGTCCGCTGACCAGTTAATTAGTTTACTTGATCGCGATCAATGTTCAGTCTCATACTTTCTAGCTAGTTTGGGATCGGAGCACAGGAAAACTGATACACGTCAATGTTGTGATCCATTGACAGCTGTCAAAACAAGGTATCTGCTGACCAGTATCACTTGACTGTATCGCGGGCTCAGGTGTCGACCCATCGAGGTCAAGTCTTTTTTTGAAGTTATCCGCTGACAAGGTACTGGTTTTCAAATGATCGCAGGCTCAAGTTTCATTTTTTTTTAAGTTCATATGAAATATGTTGTGTTTATGTGCCGCATAATTAAAATTTTGATTTCAAACTGACCTCGGACGCGAAAATTCAGCCAGCTACTACAGGCAGGGAAGACAGTTGCTTTTGACTTTTCTCGCCATGTTCACGTGTTGGTCGCGCTCTACGTCCAATTTTTATGCTCTGATTGGTCAAAATTTGACAGGTGAGTTCATGCGGAAAATTTATGCAGCATCTTTAATCTTGTTTACTTTGACAGCTGAAGCTGACAGAGTTTTGTGTCAACTTGTGATGTTTTTAACTTTCTTTTTCCACTGGATGTACAAAATGAAATTCAGTTGCTATCAGGAGTCTTCTTTCATTCATGGCTAGTTTGTTTATTGGGTTTTTGGTTGAGTCAAAGTCGGAAATCCGATTTCGGATGGCATCGTTTTCGGTTTCATCTTGCTTAATTCGTAAGAGGGTTGCAAAGTCTGAAGCGATACTGGCCCTACTTGATACCTTTCAGGAGCTGCATCTCGAGTGGTAAGCCTAAGTAATTATTTTATTTGATGTTTGTTTTTTATTCCTAATTTAATGAAGTCGAGCGTAGTTTATGCGGCTATTTTGTTTACGCACGTTTGTAAGATTTGAGACAATGATCTGACCGAGTATCAGGTTTGTTATAAGCTTACAGATCTTTAAAAGCCTTTAGACATTTTCTCACCGCAAATAGAAAGAAACCGTTTCAGAGAATATTTAGTGATAATTCTGGCTGTAAAAGAAAGGTTTGAGCGATTTTCTTGCCTCGAGTTCGTGTTTGAAAAAAGCAAACACCGGGAAGCCGGCTTAAAACATAAATTTCAGCTTTAAGCTTGTAGACTCAGGATTTTTAGAGACACTTTAATACTTGTCTTCCTGGATGAAAATTGTCGTCTCTGTATATGTTTCACCGAATTATATTTCTTTTATTGATTGTTAGTACTCTCTCTTGTAATTTAATCGTTGTGCCAATTGTTTTCAGTTGTTCAGTAAACAACGCTTCCCGGAGTACTCAAAATCCCGCGCGTTAAACCGTTTTAAAATAAACATACTAAATTATTTACTATGTTGGAGCGTAACTCTGTTAATGTTCATTCAAACACTCGCCACTGCTAGCACTGTAAAAGTCAGAACCGGCTGGCCGTATAGATGATTTTGAAAATTTTTTCAACGGTTTACGGCTAAAGCCCACGCGTGCTTCGATCGTCCTGAATAGCAATTTGTATCGCAATATTGTGAAATACTGCATTCTGTTGTCCGAGGTCTGTATGATAAAAACAGTGCCTCATAGTACTGTTTCACCTCAGATGTGATGTATAAATGATATAAAAGGCTGGTTTACATGCACCCAGATTTGTTGGCAAGATTTTGTAAAATAAACTTGTCGAACGCAAAAAATTCGGCCGGAATTTTTTTTTCCAGGCCTAATTTGCACTAGTCATTTGTTTTCTCCGCCGCCCCACCCCCGGGACATTCGGGGACTTTGTCGGGCAAAGCGCTCACGAGGAGACTGTGTGCAAAGGATTCTGGGTGCATTCCTCACAAGCAGCGATCCAACATGGCTACCAGAGAGGATAGCGTGACGAAGTAAGTGTCAACAATCCTTTTATATCCTTATGTAAATGAATGCATCCATTGATAAGCCTAATCGCACTTGAAAGAAAACACTTTGACCTTTCTCCAGAGACTATATTTACGCTTTTTTGTTGCGCGAATTCCGTTTAATATGTGATTTCACTTTCATCACTCTAGATGGAAAGCTTTTTTTTCAAATGCTGGAATAAAGGACAGAGCTGAGGAGTATGCTAAGCTTTTCGTCGATAATCGGTAAGTACACAATACAACAAATACACTTTTTGGAAGAATTAATCGTTATATCTTCTCAGCCTAGCTTTTTTTGCAAGGCTTCAGTGTCTAAAATTTTATGAAAGAGCAAATTCTGATATTCCAATACAGTATAAACACCAGGCTGAGATTTTGCAAAAAAGCACATTTTTTTATTAAGAACAAAACCAGCCTGGTGCAGAAAAATACAGATAATCAAGCATTGTTTTTATCTAGTATTAAGTCTGATTTTCTTTATTGCTGGCTAAAATTTAATATATAATGTATGAACATTAAATATGTCAGTATGTGTACTTATTCTTTTATATTGAACCTCAACTTACAAATAATGCTTAGTTTTCTTTCAATTTTTTTTTTACCTCTTTCAACCTCAAAATGATTTATTTCTAGCCAAAGATAATAATAATTATTTTTGAGGGGGGAAGGGGGGATTTTGGACCTTCCTGAGGTCAAGGGTTTCTTAACAGTTGATCTGATGTTTTTTTTTAACTTCTTCTTAAGTATTGCAGAGGATGTGCTTGATGATATTAACAAAGAGAGCATCCGTGAAATTGGAATAACTGCTGTGGGAGACATTCTGCTCATTTTAAAACATATTAAGGTACAGTACATACTTATTAAAGAACTGTATTAGATGTTTGTCATTATTAGATGTTGTATCATATCATTTTTTTTATCCTGATTATGTTTCATGGGCCATTCTGCAGTTTTGTGCCTTTTTATTATATTAGAAAATTACCCAGAACTCCCATGATGATGTATATTTGTTTCTTGCTTGGTGTGACAGGTTCTGTGTTCTAGTGCATTAACTCTGTCTCCATAAAGAATCACATTGCCATATTAATCCGTTAGTGGTTGTTCCCTAGTGTAATTAAATATTTTTTTGTGTTCTGATTACTTTCATTGTGTAATTTCAAAATAAACCATACCCCTACCATGAAGGGAATTTGATAAAGGATCGCCCATCCCTCTGGAATTTCTAAGTGACAAATGTAGTGTTTGTATGAAAATTTGGATGTTTACCCCCTGGAAAATCAAGATTTTGACCCTCCCCACCCTCTGCAATTTCCAATTCTCTCTGTAGTGGGGGTATGGAATATTGTTGTTTTGAATTTCACATTTACATTTTAAAAAAGGATTTCTTTTTCGTTGTTTGTATTGCTTTTCTTAATTATTTCTCTAGCAACCAGGATGCAAATTTTGGGGTGCTCTAAGTCTGAAAAAGGAGTAAAAGTGAAAGTTATTTTTAAAGATAAGACTTCAATTGAATGCTCATTTTTATCTTGACCATTATTTTATCAGCTTGCTAGACATTCGTCATCCAGTTTAGCTGAATCCAGGTCATCTGAGGTTGTGAGTTTAACGATTGGCCCTGAGTTGCAGGCAAGTTGCTCTTCAAAACAATTTTTTTTTCTCAAATTTAACGTGAAGGTCTTACCCCATTTTAAAAGGTATATAGTTTGACAGGGAAGGTCCAGAAACCTGTCAGTCATGCCGATAAGATCCTTTTGCTCTTTGTCCAACCCATTTTCTGCTATAGAAATGTCCTATACCTGTAATGCACTCAATAAAGCAAAGTGCGTAAAATGCCAAAATTTTAGCAAAAAAATGTCATTTCACTATTTAATCCCAAACCCTTTATACCATGACTGTTGGCGGTATCTTTATCTTGAAGTCTCCTCGCCAACATTACTCTCGAAACTGTACATATCCATGCCAATCAATAAAATGGTAATTCTTGTGCAAAACTAACAATCTCCGGCTCAGAGAATGTTTCATTAAGTACTACCTGTGAAGATCAATCTGTGAGGACCATAATAATAATATTATTATAGTAGAAACCCTCACAGCCTTTCACGAATCCTGCGATGTGTTGGCTCCTGTCAGCTGGTACATTGCAAAAACATAACAATAAATAAGTATCCTTATGGATTCAAAGGAAGTAATTGGTAATGGCTTCCTACTAAAACAACTATAGACTCCAGTACCAGTTCTTGCTTTCTATAAGTCAAATAGCAGAACTCGTTTTCTGGTCTCCTTTCTAGGTTATGCCTGAGCAGAAGACATTTGTAACAGTTAAGATTGACGAGAAGGAAATTCAAGAGAAGAGTAAGATATATGACACCTCAAAGATTGACCCTGATCATAAGATGTTCAATTACTATACAGAACTCAACAAAGCAGCCTTTAAACTAGCTTTAGATGACCCTGGTATGGTAAATGACAAACAAAAACTATGCGATTTGGCACGCCAGATGTTACACAATAGTGGGTACAATTAAAAGAAAAAGACAAGCAGATCGAAGCAATTTGGAGAGAGTGCTGGAGCACAGAAGAGATAGTATCTAAGTGACTCGCTTAAAGTAAAAAGACTACAAGAGATTCAAGAAGACTTAACTGATACTGATACACAAATGGGACTTCTGACCAGGCAGCGCGAAAAACATATCAATGTGAAACAGTTTGGCCAGGCTGCGACCTTAACAGAACAGATTTCGCAATTGAGGGCAAAAAAAAAGAAAACTACAGGAAGAATTCACCATGCTTCAGACCAAGAGAAGAAAATGTGAAAAGCAAAATGCAAAGACAAAATCCTTGAACACAAGTCATGCAAAAATCACAAGTTTCCTTCCCCAAGTTTCCAATAAGAAGCCAGAGCATGTTGATGGCCAACAACCTACTGTGGTAGGTCCTTTAGTTGCCAAGATAACACCAAACAGTTCTTGTAGACTACCAGACCCCTCTGATGCGCTCAGACATGGCAGTATAGCAGTAAAGAAAACCTGTACACCATCAGTCAGCAGTTCTTGTATACAACTGGACCCCCCTGATGCCCTCCAACAAGGCATGGGCTCCGTTGAAGCAGCAAAGAAAACCTCTACACCGTCAGCTAAACAACCAGACCCTCCTGATGGCCTTCAACATGCCATGGAATCAGATGAGGCACCCTTTACACCACCGGAGGTTTCTCAGATTCCTGGACATAATAACCAAACTTGCGATGACTCTCATTTTTTATCGTAGACGCTGCTGGCAAATACTCAACATTCGTGGCTTTAACAAGGTCAACATTGGGGAATGTGGCCTCTTGTCGAGTTGAAAACTCATTATATATATCAAAACTTAACATGTTTACTCTCGTTGAATTTGTTAGTTTTAGAACAAGATATTGCCAGCAGCATCATTCTGTTAGTTGCAAAGAATGTTACGTTCTGATTGAAATTGCAAACTATATTCAGGACAAAGGAATTGTCAAAGTTTCAGACCTGTACCACAAATTCTTTCCTAGTAACAAATACAAATCGGACAAAGCTGTTAGGAGACTGCTTCAGCTACCAGTTGCAATATTTGCACTTGAAAGGTCCTTGGGTTCTCAACTTCATGTAACTGAGTACTGCCCGTCCGTTGATTACAAGCGACTGATGCACTGGATTAACAAGCTGGTTGCCCCTGAACAGGTTCCAGGGTTAGATAAAAACACTCTCACAGCACTTTGTAAACTAGCATCCAGTGACAAGGACCGAACACTTCTCAAGTATGCGAGGCAGCTGGACTTACATCACAACAGGCTCGGAAGGTTTATGGAATTGGATCATACAAGGATCTGAGTAGAAAGGTACGTCTGGCTCTTCAAGAAGCAGCAGAGATTAGACAATCCGTTATTGAGCTTGCAGAGATTGAAGACAAAGCCTTGATGAGGTCCCTTAGGTTAGAAGATGTCATTAATGAAATAGGGGAGGACAATGTCGACTTCGACGTTGAAGCGTGTGAAATAATGCCAACTGATGATGTATGTGATGATAGCAATGTGGAAGATGTTGAGCCTCCAGATCTTACTAATCCCAGTGAAAATGCTGACACATCCAGCAGAAAGCATGATCCCCATGCCAGTGGCGAATCTACTGTTGGAGTAGCTACCACACCCAGTGGCACGAGTAATTCATTTAATCCGGATGCTATTAACAAAACAGGAATAGCAAACCCAACACCACAGCTAGCCACCACACCCAGTGGCCCGAATAATTCATATGATCCGGATGCTATTAGCAAAACAGCAATATTAGCAAATCCAGCACCATCCAATGATGTTCTGTTAAGCTGGTTGAGGGACCATGACTTAAATTGGTTTGCCTTTTTTGAGGAGGTCAGTCAATACTTGCGGAACTATACTTCTGAAGTGCTCAATCAGGTGATTCTTGACTTCACAGACCACTTGCCTTCAAGTGATCTTACAATCGATGAAGAAATGCATGTTGAGGTGTCACGTCAAGCTTTCTTGGAGGTGCAAAGGAGGCGTTCCCTAGATGGCCCAGAAATTGAAGCAGATTCTGACAATGATGAAGATCAACACTGGGAAGGAGTGGAAATTACGGATGTGCTTGGGGAGGAAAAGCTAAGGAAAATACAATCTGAAAGGTTGCGCATTAAGCGGCGAGCAGAGAGAAAAATGGCCGAAGAAATAGCCAAAACATGCATTTTTAAACGTAGAATCCCTTCATCAGCAAGTCGGTTACAGAAAAAGTTTCCCACGATTGGAAAGGACATGGAGGAATTTGTAGGAAGCAAAAAAGTTGGAGCAGATGCATGAAGGAGAACTGGTCTTTTGACTTTCGATGGGGAAAGGAGACGTGGAAAGAAAGTAACTTATAAGTCTACACAAGCCTATCTTGAAGAGAAATATGGTACGAAAATTGGTTACGGAAGCATAGTACAGCTTTGTTATGCCCGGAGCAAGAGGCATCTCTCCTCTAAACGATACCAGAATGTGGCCAAGATAACATGCAGGCGGGCTCGAAAGGGGTTCTCCGTTCGAATAAATCCGGATGCACACTGGAGTTGTGCTTTATATAGAGGGCTTGATTATATTCAACTGAAGGAAGGCATTAACAAAGTTCTTTTAAACCGTGACGACCAGTCTGGGTTTAGACTTGACACAACGTATGATCATAAGCACTCTAAAACTATAACTCTCACTAACAGGCCAGCCCTGACAACACGAACGGACTTTGTTAATGATTACCCGTCAGTGATCCAAACCACTTCTTACCTCTTTATGGAAACTGACACCAGCAAGCAGGCATGTGTGGGCGTTGTTAAGCTAAACTTCACTTATCCAAAGAAGCAGCTCAGCATG